TATCATTTTCCAAAAAGGATTTGATTTATGGTCTTCGAATTCGATTTCAGCGCGGTGACAGCCCGTTTCCACTACTCATTGAACGAATGAAGCCGCAATGATCGATGGAAAACGGGCTGGCAAAGCGCCCAGATCCACGCCCCTCTGTGACGGCTGACCATTGATAACGACAGTAATTCCTGCGCACATTAGCCTCACTCTGTCCTCAAGCAGCGTGAACTATGCCTGAAAAAAGTAGACTCTCGACGGAGATTGTAGCCTGCTTGGAATTCGCAGAAATGAGCACAGTCATATCGATCTAAAAATGCCTTTTCTGGAATTTAGGTAATCGAAAGTTGGACATTGTTGAAAGCATTTTATTTCGTTTTTTCCACTATTTCCCTGGTTGGTCTCGGTGATATTGTAGCGAAAACACAGCTATCATTTCTTTGCTGTCAAACATTCATTTATCTGATTGGTGATATCCTCTACAACCACTTGAACTTCTTCATTCAAGTAAGCCATTCATTCATGAGAACCTTTGCATTCATTACACCGTGCATGCTCAAGGTTTCTGAGCCTGATTGCGTCAGGTCTGACTTAACGACACATTGTACGATCACCTCCAGACGCGATCCTATAGTATGAGAGGTAAATGGTTCCGCAGCTGCGGTACACTGCTCACTTTCGCCTCTCAAAAGTGCTTGGGAACGGGGCTAGAGGATAGGAATATCAGGAAGCCGTCTCCCAACTCCGCCTGCGCCAACCCCGATGTGACGCTTTATACCAAAATCCTACCGCAAACACGCTATCAGAGGTAGAGAGTAATCAGAAGTGAGAGGACGCAGAAAGGTAGTGCGTCTGGACACGGTTAGGCGTGTGCTTGGTCGTGCGGCAGTGTCGGTGGAGTCGGCACCTGGGTATCATTACCCTCCAGTTCCGCTCCGTGCATTTTTGAACGGAGAATGTGATCACGCTAATTCCAGCTGCCGGCCTTCTCATTGGCCAAGGACGGCTAACCAGGTAAACGAATGAATAAAGAGAAACATTACTCTGTAATTTTGAGGCGGAGATGGTGTAGTGACAAGTGGGGCGCTCACCATTCGCGCGGTCCCGGGTTCGAATCCCGGGTCGACTCCCGCCCAGGCCAACCAAGCCTTCTACCCTCCGGGGACGGTGAATTGGTACCAGATTCGTCTGGGAGGATAAAACACTGACTTGTACATCGGCTGGCCACCGCAAGTCATTGTATAGGCCACATCGCATTCAATAAGCCACTACGATTCTGAATGGAAGTAGAATGCGTGCCGCATCCCACAAAGGGATTGATCAACGGCGAAGACTTTATCCTTATCCTTTTACTGCTGTAATTTATTGTTCGCAGAACGTATCGTGTCGGTGCTCGGCATTCATAGCCAAGTGCACAACTAAATTTCCTGGAAAGAGCTTCTTGTGGTCACTCTAAGTCAGCACCCACTCACGTGGAGTACTACCCACAAATCACATCAAATACGCTACCAATTGGTTAGACTTTCACGAACTTTCACGATCTTTTCGAATGGTACATGCTATTAATGGATGGGTTTTCCCTTCTTGAGGGTGGCACTTTTGTTTACAATTCCGAGTTTGGGCAAGTTTTTACGGCTTCACGGTTCCTTGCTCCGCGCTAAGAGCTTATCTCTCGAACCCCCTACAGGCCCTACAGGCCTAACTTGTCCATGCATCGCACATTTCCCTTCCCCTCCCCCACCCCCACCATTCACTCACACACCCTAAGGGTCCTCGACTGTTTCCCTGGGTTCTCCCTTACGGACTAAAACTTTAGCGTTCCTACTCTTGCCATTGAGTGCGATGACCCATATTCTTGCCATGGATAGACGTGCCTTTGAAGTTGTTTACATGCCCCGCCCTCTTACGACCTGCCTTCTTTTTATCAAATTTTTGCAGAATGTTACCGTAGAGCAGCGTTGTGGGGGGGTATGGACATCATTGTTGAAACGACAGAAATTATTAGGCGCCCCCGACAGTGTGTAATAACTGTTTTCGGCGCCGTTGGGGTGTGTCAGCGATAACTGGGTTTGACTGGGCGCTCTTGTTTTCTACCAACTGTTGTTATTCTTCCGAATTGGCAATCAGTGGAAAGGGGCTAGCGCCGCGCCATCTCAGCCCCTTCACACGTCCCAGCGTCCGCAGCCGAAACGGCTGTGAAAGACCCCTTTCAAAACCAATACTACCTCCCCCATTCCCTGAAGCCAAATACGCTTCCTGATTGGAACGGTACCTCGCAGTTCAAAAAATACGGTACTTCGCGAATCGTGACATTCAGTAAGGCTAGTTAATTGAGCGGCGCTGACATAGCTGGGTGCGGCAAGGGGGAGGGGCGGCAGGGAGGGCGGACAGCTCAACCCCTCTGTGTGGCCTTCCCCAAAAGTTACGCTTAAAGCGCAGAGGGTACGTAATCTCCATCAACAAGCCTTGAATAGGCGCGTAAATTATGAACGTGGCCTGAGTGAATTCCCCGTTTGCATGAGAAATAACGGCTTCTGATGCGATTTGAAGTGGGAAAGCGGTCTCTCGCGCACATAATCCGTTCGCCATTGTCGAACAGTACTTTAGGAAACTCTGTCATGTCAACAAACCCAAAAGGATAGCACTCCGCAAGATCGTTCACGAAGGCCGTCATCAGAACGTTCTGCTGATCCGTCTGAAGCAAGCACTCAATTTTCTCGCATCACCACCACTTAACACAAGAAATCGCGTCAACTATCCAGGACGGACGCGTTCCAAACAACGTTCCTCCGACAGGGACGAGCCAACGGTAAGGTCTCGCGGTGGAAACGGCCGCCTGCTGTCACCACGGGTACTGTCGGATAGGACAAAATCATCTCCTACTACTGAACGAACTTCCTCGAAAATTGAATAGTCCATTTCATGCTGCTTTTTCTCGAATAAAAATATGCATATGTTCCAAGGTCTATGTTTATCAGCGCTACTAAAACCAACAAGGAAGAAGTGGCAGTTGCTGAATCGGGGAATTCATTGCTACCGTATTCTGCGAGCTTGGTCACGTTTCCAGATCTGCAGTCCTCTTAACTGTCGCATTGTTCCGGCTCGCAGCCAAAGTAGCCTGTCCCACCCGGTTACTGCGACTTTCTCCCCGCCAGTTGCTGGCGGAAACTTAGATGGCATCACTGTGGAGAAAAGCCTCCTTGGCTGGCGCTTCATCTTAACGCCCTATAGTTTGCAGGGACCTTAAATTGTAGGTTGTGTGCATTACACCAGTTCAGGCTGCCGCTACGTGCCCATCGAGGCTTTATGTAAACCCTTTACGAGAAAAAGAGAATCAACGTGTGAACGAGGGAGATGGGCAGGAGAGGAGGGAGGTGGTGTCAGTCCGCGGTCTAAAAAAGATGACATCGAGCACGTGCTTCGCTTATCGGTGCTGGATAAATCGAATGACTGAAGTTGTGATGGCGCCATGATAGATGACACGTGCCAAATAAGCTGGAACTAGACGCAGTCTCACTACTTGTTCGCTCGCGCCAATCAAGCATTAACCAAACTCGGTGAAAGTGGAGAGGGCGCGGTCAGGCATGAAATCGGTGCGTTTTATTTTTAGAGTGTGCTTCGAGAAAATCTCCGCATCGTTCACGACTTGTGGACATCAAAAACTGTTCGAGCCGCAGACGGACGGGCGGCAAATGCTCCGAGTATAAGGCGTAAGCACTAAGACGCGAAGCAGTGTCACTTGGCTGTAGTGCAAAAAAAAAATAGTTATATTATTCTTTTTTTCCATTTGCAATGGAAAAACAGAAATACAGGATTTAGAAAACAATGTAAATTTGGGGATAGCAGTAAAGCTCAATAGCAACATTGAAAACGGTTCACATAACCTCGTCATCCGGGCAGTTGATTAGGGCGGTCGTCAACGGGCCGCAGCGCGTGCCAGGAACTATTTGCTTTTCCAGGCTAATTTAGTCATTTTTCCACCTTGTGAAGATAAGGAGCTGCTAATCTGGGAAAAAGTAGCCAAAACAGTGAAAAGTTGGAAAAAATGACTAAATTAGCCTGGAAAAAGCAAATAGTTCCTGGCACGCGCTGCGGCCCGTTGACGACCGCCCTAATCAACTGCCCGGATGACGAGGGTACGTGATAAGCTTTTCACCGGGATAAGAGTTTTACGAATAATTCCAAAGTTCTGGATGAAGATACAGTAGCAACTGAAAAATACGATCCCACCCTGTTAATCCCCACCTGGGAGTTAGCACTTGATTGTTGAAGAGTGGGGGGCGTACTTGACCTGAGAAATGACAGTTGATGTTTCTGATTCATGAGCCTATTCACATCATTAACAAGAGAGGGGAGAGGGGTCGTACCAAAGGGGATATTCTGGAGGGAGCGTATTTTGCAAAAATTAATTTCTTTCATCGAGAAGACCGTGCCCTGGAAGGGATCGCGCAAAGAGTTCATCGAAAAGATGTGTTCTGGAAGGTATCGCGCAAAGCGACATGCAGTCCTTGTAGGCAGTTGAATTAGCAGTTGCAGTGGTCCAACGATTAGCGCAGGAGCGCTGTCAGTCACAGTGGAACGATTCCCAACCCGTGCGATCATGTCGCCAGATTTGCTAAGTATGAACGAGGGTTTGAACCCCGAGAGGTAATTTGGAAGTCATTTTAGACAAATGCTTCTGCTTCTTAATAAAGTGCATATCTAAAACATGAAAGACTAGCAAAACCTATTCGCAAAGTTGTACTCTGTAAGATCTCTTGGTACTTCTCACATTAAATTCTGATGACGACGAAAACAACAACAATTAAACAACCCTAATCGGAACAACGAAACTATGATGAATGACTAGATATTTGAATTCCTTACAAAACGCCTAACATTTTCATATGTAACAAACGTCACAACTGCTGCTGGTAACTGCCGTAAGTTGGCCATTAGGCAGCCTTTATACAGACCTCGTACACCCTCTCTAGACAGGGTGTCCGTAGTTGTTCGCCATACTCCTCTTGCTTCCACGTTGTGGTCCTGAACGTAACTGGATGAAGTTCAACAAAATGTTCTATATGTAATACGTCTACTGATGACGTCTATTGGCGTGCATGAGTGTTCATTCATGGGTCACGAAAGACATGCAGTCCATATCAAAGAGCAACAAGGGGCGTGGCGCAAGCGAGGCGATGGTCGCGAGGGTCGAGAATAAAGGGAGGCGGGGACATAGGCATAAAAGACGAGAGTCGGCATGGGTAAACACCTCTTCTCGCCCTATAAGGACTGTAACTTTTCTCGCTTCAACCTGAAAGCTTTTAAACGGGTAGGAAGTGAAGGTCGTAAAATGGGAATACCACAAGGTTTTGTTCGGTATCAACTGAAATTATGGATTTTCTTGTTGAGGGCTTCGGAAGGACAATGCTCACCTGCATCCGGGTTCTAAGAACTTGATATGGAAATGTAGCTGTAGTTGCAATGACCTTTGAAATGGCGGAGAACATCAGATAGTCAGTCTGACCCTGAAAACTCGGTAATTACTCGGTAACTCAAATGAGACTTTTCACAATTACAACAGTTAGGAAAAATGGATCACTTCCGCTACGCGCTTCGCTTCGCAGTTACCACAAAGCCAGACGCTACGTTCAGACGCGGGCCGACCGATTAGGCGGATTTTCGTGAAGAGGTGATAAAGCACATACCAGT